TTTAAATTTCAAATTTAAAATATACCCTACCTTGCCCTGAACAATCTATCTCAGGACCTCCTGTACGTCCCAAAAGTTCAATTAGCTAATCTACTTCATTGATTAATTGTAAAACAAATTGTTTAGATAATTGCAGTTTTTCCTGAAAGGTTTAGTGATTGTGGCTTCAAAATCTTTAAATTAACATGGTTTCAGACCTTAGAACATTTTGAGAAAGTGTATAATTTGTTTTTTGTTTGATTATGTTAGCTAAACTAGTTTTTAAAAGCTCCAAAACAAGACATTGACTGAATTTTATGTTTATTGTGTTTATGTGCATTTTTTTTTTTTTTTATTGATAATTCTTGTTTGTGCAAGGGACTGCATGTTTTCCTCTTCTTAAAACAGTCAAGATGTCAATGTATATATTCAATGTGAGGTGATGAAGCCTCCCTTGCAAGACCTTATGTTTAAAATTTCCTTGTTTGGTTAATCTGTAACCAATTTCTTGCATGTCTCATATTGTACTTAAAACTTATGTATGTCACTTGTAAGATGCATACAAACAGAAATTTTGTATTTCCTTGATATAGTATTGTGGACTGGTGCTACACTTGTTATCTATCAGCCATATGATAGGAATAAGTGAAAGTTCTTTTTGCCAGTAAGTTTGATCTAAATGTTCGTTTTAAACTAGCAAAACTCTGTGCCTCCCTTGAGGTTTTAATCAGCTATCAGGTCAAGGGCACTTTCCTCTCAGATCTTCCGATACGCTTTGAGGATCTTAACATTTACTTTCTGTTTCTTTCGTCTGTGGGAACTTTTGTCAAATACAGTGGGGCAAACCATGTTTAGATATAGGCAAAAAATGAATGAAGTATGATTAAAAATAAAAAATTTATATTGAGATTATGTTGGTGATATTGTGATCACTTCTCTGAATCTGGTTAGCAGCAATATGATGTCTCACGGAAAGATGCTTCTACATTGCTTGAAGATCATTGGAGTTCTAGATTGTCCTTTTTTTGCGGTTGGACCTTTGAAGTAGAATCATTTAGGTGTATTTATTATTGGGGCTTGCACAGAAAGAGTTGCTTCTGAAGGCAGGGTTTATCTTTGTTCTTGTTCTTTTCCCTGCATCTCTCTCTCTCTCTCTCTCTCTCTCTAAGTTTATTATCATTTCTTTGCTCTTAATGTTCTTTATTTGTTTGAACATGTCATTTGAGTCAAAGAAATAGTAAGGTTTCTTATACGAACACACGGAAGCAGCTTCAAAAAGTGTATCTCCATGAGGTACTTACAGGTATAATTTTGACAAAGAGTTAGAAAAGTGTCCTGCTTTTCATAGGAAACTAGGAAAGTATACATAGTGACATTGGTTCAAATACATCTTTGAATTGGACAGTGGACTTTTCTCTTGATTCTTAGGCAGACCAACTTTGAGTGCTGTTGAATCAGAATGCAATGGCCATGAGACTTTTTTATCTGTCACTGGATTATGTTGTGATGAATTGTGGGTTATGCATTTGATCTAGGTTTGTTATTTAAAAAAGCGCTTTAGGAATCATTGTTTGACTATGCATTATTTAAGATTATTAATTCATTTTGCAGCATGGTGGCAGCTTTTGGTTCTGGAGCCATGTTTTCATTAGTGAGTGGCATGGGTGGCTCAAATCAGGCAGCAAATGCTGTCACTTCTGGACTTTTCTTTGCACTGGTTCAAGGTGGGCTTTTCAAGGTGAGCATTGAGCAATAAGAGATGGATTTAATTATTGGTTTCACAACTTAAAACTTGCAATATGGTTGATTTCCATGTCGTGAACATGATAGAAATATAAAGAATAACTGTGATCAGCCTGTTAATCTGACAAGACGACATTGCTGATTGTTAAAAACCAATGCTTGCTGAAATTAATAATCTCAAATGAATTTTCTGATAATCTCCCAGTTGACAGTTCAATATTGTAACTTGAGTCTATCTCCCAGTTGACGGTTCAATATTGTAACTTGAGTCTATGTTCTATGAGATTTTTGTTTAGCTGAGAGCCCTTTTTATGTGTTCGTATAGTTGGGGCAGAAGTTCTCTCAACCACCACCTCAGGATGTGCTGTATTCCAGAACAAGAGGCATGCTAGATAAACTTGGCCTACAGAATTACGAGAAGAATTTTAAGAGAGGCCTGTTAACAGATAACACATTGCCTTTGTTAACCGATAGGCAAGTAGTTGAAATCTTTGTTTTCTCTTCCCCCTTTTACGTTTTAATTAATGTGCTCATAAAGCCTTAACCGCTGCAATCTTTTTTCAGTGCTCTTAGAGACGTGAGAATCCCTCCTGGACCAAGGCTTCTCATTCTTGATCACATTCAGAGGTCTGCTAACCTTCCATATATGCAATGTTATCATTTTTAGCTGGAACGCTGAATTAGCCTGACACGTGAATTAAATTTTGTCTTTAGGGACCCCGAGTTGAAGAAGAGTCGATGAAGCTGTGGCTGAACCCAATGTTGTCAGATTGGTTTTGTATCAAAGAGCACCATTTAGTTTCAGGGAGTATTTTATATCAGAGAAATAGTCATGTTTCTGTTTAAGATGATTTCATTGAAGTTTTTAAAGTTTGTCATTATGATATAAATGCTATTGGGATGCTCATAAAAATTCTTTAGACTCTGTTGAATTCTGCATTACTTTGACTATATATATATGAACGTGATAATTTAGTCGGTTTTTTGTCAAAGAAAGATTGTTGTTAGTTGAAGAGTTGTATGATGTGCCCATAGTTAATTGTTAAGGTATGGGATATATTTTAGTTTATCAAGGTGGGGTGACACCGATCAAGATCAACCAAACTAACTTTAAACTCAAAATTCTTTCACAAATACAGTTATCTCATTTAATTTACATCATATCTTGTTAAACTGATCAAATTAAGATTTAATTTTATGTATTTTATTTTGTAATTTTATTTTGTAAAGATATTTAATCAATTGATAATTTATTATAGAAAATATTGTTTTTAGTTAATCAACGTGAATGCATTTTTATTTTTAATATAAATCAATCATTTCCAATATTTTCAAAAAATACAGAAGATGAATTTATTATTTATAAAAGAAGAAAATTTAATTAAATAATTATGTTACATATTAGTTTATAAAAACATAAAAGTTGTACATGTATCAACACTCTTTTTACTAATCACGGTGTTTATGAAATTAAATGAGTATAAATTAATAACACTCTTTTTTAACTAAACAATTATGTTACATTAGTTCATAAAAAAGTTTAAGACTTAGCAAACACACCCTCATCCACCCTAAGTCATTGTTGGTAATCAGCCATCATCGTCTACCATCACCACCTACAGTAATATAAGATGATATTACCTCACCTTAGTAATGAGATATTATGATAATAAAAGATGACATTACTTCAGTAATGAGATATTATGATAATATAAGATGACATTACTTCAGTAATGAGAGATTACTCTTAATCAAACACACTCTTGATAGTTATTAGGAAAGGTCAAGTTGAAAATTTAAGGCGACAAAGTGCACATTTTCACCATCTCAATAAATTTATTCATCCTCCAAAATCCAAGGGCTTGGCTTTCTATGTTCTTCCCTCCCTTGGATAAGTTGTTCTTCCTTGCTCATTAATTTACGAGCGCCATGAGTTTTTCAGCATTTGCCCCTTATCTCACCTTATTCTTAACACTTTAAGAAAATCAAAGGTTTGAAAGCCTCAAAGAGGAGGAAGAGTGTTTAGTGGAATTTCTTGTCCCAAAAATCCTCCTAGGCCATTGTCAAAGGGTGAGATATCTCAAGGTAAGCCGCTGAGACCATTGCTTTGGCACCTTGCTCCACTAGGAAAGCTAAACAATCAATTTTACCATTGATAGAGTTCAAATTTGCCTACCACGAGCCTTCCGTCGATAGTCAAGGTCTTGAAGTTGACTTGGAAACCCCATATCTGACCCAGGAAATGATTATTGAGCTCTATCTCTAAGGTTGTCTTTTTGTTCCTCGAGAGGAGGGTGACATTCATGCTTGTGCTCATTCTATGACGACGCTTGTCAGGGTAAGCAATTCCTTACTCTGTTCAATTTCTTTAATGGTAATAAGTTTTGGCACTTAGCTAACCTCAATTTCATTCTCTGTAACATGGCCTGGTTGACTTATATCAATGTTGTAATGTCTAATGAATTGAAAGATTCAAAGGACAAAGTAAGGTAAAAATTTCCTTAGGAGGATGAAAATAAAGTAGCAAAAGGAATGGGTGAGTGTGACTGAGCTGAAACAAAGCAATGATGTCCTGTCAAAGGAGAAGAAAGACTTAAGAGAGGCAAGGTGGAGAAAGAGCAAGAGGTTGAGGAGGTTTTGACAATCAAAGGAATATATCTCCGTGGGTAATTAAATCAAATAGGACAAGCTATTCTCGCCCAATATCCCAAGTTAGATTTGGACTTCATTGCTAAGAAATTCTAGCTTTCCTCGCACATCACAAGTCATTCCTTTGATTTGCCGAAACAACGAATATGTGAAGTTTGACAAGGGAGAAGGTCGAAGCAGGTGAAGAAGTGGCAAGGAGAATTGAGTTCTAATGTCGACATTGGAAGGGGATGATTAGAGACTAGTTATTTAAGATGATTTCTTTTTCATGATATAAAAAATTCCCCTAGGTTGTTTTGAATTATTTACAATATATCGCTAACTTATTTGTACATGTTAGTGGAAGACTTGTTGATTTGATTGTTTACCTTAGCGCAGGATAAAGTCATCTTGACCACTTTTGCCAATTAATTGCTCTTGTGCTCTTCCTTGGTATCTTGGCATATTCTTTTTCACTCTCTCTCAGATTCTCTATAGTTTCTTCCTTCTTATATTTTTATTAATAAATTGGCATCCCCATTCTCTATTTAAATAGGGGGTCAATTACTAACAAAATAGAAAGTAATTCCAAAAGAAATTTTATTGATTCATCAAATGTATTACCACAAAGAGTGCAGATCACATTGTTCTGAAAAGTCAAAAGGAGAATTTGTTATTTAAAATTAAGGATTCAAATGCAGAGTACATTGCCCAATAAGATACAATAAAATTAATTTGTAATTACAAAATTTTCTTTTTCAATCAATTACAATTACACCACACAGACCAAATCCCTTTAACATACAAATCACCAGAAATAAAAACTTCTGCTCATGATTGGACCCACCTTCATACGCTCCACAGAAGTTTTCTTCAGAAACTACTAACAAAAAAGAATAATTACACAGTAATGGCAGTTTTATGATTTTGGTTAGCCTTGGAGAGCTGGCTCATGAGAGAGACGATCTGAGCGTGGTAGTCACGCGCCTGACTGACGGCCTCAGCTTCAAGTTCACCGAGCTGTGAACATAGCATTTCTTCAGCTTCCTCCGCCAAACGCAGTCGTTCCAGAACTTTCTGAAGCTCGACTCTCGTTTGTTCTTCTCTTTCTCGGCTTTTCTTCAATTCTCTTTCGAGTTCTTCGTTTCTCATCTTTAGATCTTCTTCTTCTCTTTCTTTAATGTTGGTTTTATTCTTTTTCTCGACTCCTGGTGCCACCGCCATTACTAGAGCCATTTTTTATTGGTGAATTGCAGATGTAATGATTTCGCTTCTTTTGATTTGGTACCTCCAATGAAGATGAAGTGGTCTTTTATTTATAGCCTTCAATTGGCTTTGCTTTGTTATGTCCAGGTTCAATGAATCTAGTCGTTTTGCTAGTTTTTGGAATATTGGTTTTTCTTTGGGATTACCACATTTACCTCCCTCATATATTCTGCTAACTTTGGCAAACCCATAATACTTTGGAATGTATTACAGCCCGCCCCCCTTCTCCTCGTCCTTGTGTGACGCTGACGATGATATAAAAAAACCTACGTCGTTCTAAGTTGCTAGGTCAGGTTCGGAATTCTAGTTGAACAATATGCATAGGTCGAGCTTAGGCTCAGGCACTACAATAGGCCAAAATATCCAATTCGAAGCTTGAATTTAATACAGAATTTTATTTAAATTTTTAATAAATCAAGATATTATGACTTAAATTCCTGACATATTTATTGATTTAAGGGAATAAATGCCAACTTAACATTTGATAACTTGTTAATAATTAATTGATTTCATATGGGTGTGTGTGATAGCTTGATAACTTTGGGGGTTGATTTTAATAGCGGTTTCTTGTGCTTAACGCATGTACTTGTAATCTCTTCCATTATTTGGTTACCGCCTCTAGTCTTAGTCTCTAGACAATTCTTGTCAACACACGTGACTGATGCTTACGTATTTGCTTTGCTGTTTATTATTAAGCAAAATAGCAAATAAACAATACAGCCCTTCCGAAAATTATCTTTTAGTTGATTTTACAGTTAATTTTGATTAAAAAATGTGCCAATAAATCATTTTAATTATTTGGAAATAGTTTATCAAACTTGACCAAAAGATAAAAAGAGCAAATATAAATTTATCATAAAAAGCCAGTAGTCTATTGATTTGTAGATTTTATTTCAAATAAGATAGTGGTATCGATGCATAAATAAAATGTAATTAATGAAATTTTGTTTTATTAGTTTCCTTTTGTATTTGTCTTACTTTTTTCTAATTTCTAATTTGTCATTTACTTTTTCCTATTGTTTATTAAATAAATAAGTCTTTTAATTAAATTTATTTTGTTTTTTTTATCTCTATTAATAAAAACTAAAAAAAAAAATTAAGCAAATTGAGTATTTGTTGTCTTGCCCCATCTAACATGAATTTTAAATTATATTAATATGGTTGAAAATTAAAGAAAGGGATCCTCAAATGTAAGAATGCAACGATAAACAGATCCCTCAAATATATTTATTTGTCCCTTTCATTATCAACCACTTTTAGCCCATTAGTCAGAAATTGAAATAATTGATGTTATGTTTCGTGGGGAAAAGAAATTCAACATAACAGTTTCCATCAATTTCATTTGTGGGGTTGGGTTGTGAAAATTATCCTCGAGGAATCTTTATATGGTAAATGGGTTAATTCCACACGTCTCTAATATATATATTACGAGAGTTATCATTATGAGAATTTGACTTATTTTTTTATTTTTAATGTTGATACAAAAAACTGCACCAACCAGAAAATTTCGATTGACTATGTCGGAATTGGAATGGATGTGCGCATGATTACGGATAACCAACAGTGGATAAATAATAAATGCAATAAAGTAAATGGTAGAGAAATTTTTAAAGTGATTCGGCAAGTTAGAACTTGAGCTTACAGCCACTGTTATCTTATTGTTTTTTAGAGCTTATAAAGAACAGTATAATTCCTATGAAAATTTGCTTAAAACAATTGTCTAGCCCCCGAAAACAAGTTGTCATGGGTTTATATAACACTCATTTACATGATAGAGTTGAGATAAGATTCAAATATGCAGGATTAGGAAATTGCATGATATTCGGCTACCTTAGTTGGAGTCTAAGTCAATTTAAATATATTCCTTCCAAATTGAGTCAATCTAAATATCTCCTCACCTCATAGGGAATTATCCTCTCCGGATTGACCGCACAACAATAGCCCCCAAGCTTTTGAAGTGTGTTGGAGTGCGTAATCACACTTCAAAAACTCATGTCTTTGATTTCGATGGCTGTCACACTATAGGCTGCAATCTCGAACTGAAGAACTTGAGTTATGCCTAGCGTGATCTAAGAGATCTAAGAGATCTTGAACACGTGATCTCAAGCGAATGAGCGAGCTTATGAGCTTAATCAGGGAGCATAAAGAGCTCGATCTAAGAACATAAAGAGCTCGATCAAAGAGCATAAAGAGCTCGATCTGAGAGTGCAAGGAGTTCGATTAGAAAGCATGGAGAGCTTGATCTGAGAGTGCGAGGAGTTCGATTAGAAAGCGTGAAGAGCTTGATCTGATAGTGCGAGGAGTTCGATTAGAAAGTGTGAAGAGCTTGATCTGAGAGCATAGCTCGATCAAAAAGCATGTAGTGCTTGGTCTGAGAGCATTGCTCGATCAAAAAGTATGGAAAGCTTGATCTAAAAGCATTGCTCAATCAGAAAGCTTGGAAATCTTGATCTGAGATCATTGCTCAATCAGAAAGCATAAAGAGCTTGATCTGAGAGCATAGTTCGATCAGAAAGCATGGAAAGCTTGATCTGAGAGCATTGCTCAATCAAAAAGTATGAAGAGCTTGATTTGAGAGCATAACGCGATCAAAAAGCATGGAGAGCTTGATCTGAGAACGTTGCTCGATTAGAAAGCTTAATCTGAGCGCATTGCTCGATAAGAAAGCATAGAGAGCTTGATTTGAGAGCATAGCTTGATCAGAAAGCATGGAGAGCTTGATCTGAGAGCATAGCTTGATCAGAAAGCTTGGAGAGCTTGATCTAAGAGCATAGCTCGATCAAAAAGCATGGAGAGTTTAATCTGAGAGCACTACTCGATCGAAAAGCATGGACTGCTTGATCTAAGAGCACTGCTCGATCAGAAAGCATAGAGAGCTTGATCTGAGAGCATTGCTCAATCAGAAAGCATGGAGAGCTTGATCTGAGAGCATTACTCGATCAGAAAGCATGAAGAGCTTGATCTGAGAGCATTACTCGATCAGAAAGCATGGAGAGCTTGATCTAAGAGCATTGCTCGATTAGAAAGTATGGAGAGCTTGATTTGAGAGCATAACACAATCAGAAAGCATGGAGAGCTTGATCTGAGAGTATTGCTCGATCAGAAAGCTTGGAGAGCTTGATTTGAGCGCATTGCTCGATCAGAAAGCATGGATAGCTTGATCTGAGAGTATAGCTCGATCAGAAAGCATAGAGAGCTTGATCTGAGAGCATAGCTCGATCAAAAAGTTTAGAGAGTTTGATCTGAGAGCATAGCTCAATCAAAAAGCATGGAGTGCTTGGTCTGAGAGCATTGCTCAATAAAAAAGCATAGAAAGCTTGATCTGAGAGCATTGCTCAATCAGAAAGCTTGGAAAGCTTGATCCGAGAGCATTGCTCGATCAGAAAGCATTGAGAGCTTGATTTGAGAGCATAGCTCGATCAGAAAGCATGGAAAGCTTGATCTGAGAGCATTGCTCCATCAAAAAGTATGGAGAGCTTGATTTGAGAGCATAGTGCGATCAGAAAGCATGAAGAGCTTGATCTAAGAACATTGCTCGATTAGAAAGCTTGGAGAGTTTGATATGAGCGCATTGTTCGATCAGAAAACATTGAGAGCTTGATCTGAGAGCATAGCTCGATCAGAAAGCTTGGAGAGCTTGATCTGAGTGCATAGCTCGATCAAAAAGCATGGAGAGCTTAATCTGAGAGTACTGCTCGATCAAAAAGCATGGACAGCTTGATCTGAGAGCATTGTTCGGTCAGAAAGCTTGGAAAGCTTGATCCAAGAGCATTGCTCGATGAGAAAGCATGGACAGCTTGATTTGAAAACATGGAGAGCTTGATCTGAGAGCTTTGCTCGATCTGAGAGCTTTGCTCGATCAGAAAGTATGGAGACCTTGATCTGAGAGCATAACACAATCAGAAAGCATGGAGAGCTTGATTTGAGAGCATCGCTTGATCAGAAAGCTTGGAGAGCTTGATCTGAGCGCATTGCTTTATCAGAAAGCATGGATAGCTTGATCTGAGAGCATAGCTCGATCTGAAAGCATAGAGAGCTTGATCTGAGAGCATAGCTCAATCAAAAAGCATGAAGTGCTTGGTCTGAGAGCATTGCTCGATCAAAAAGCGTGGAAAGCTTGATCTGAGAGCAAAGCTTGATCTGAGAGCATTGCTTGATCAGAAAGTATGGAGAGATTGATCTGAGAGCATAGCTCGATCAGAAAGCATGGAGAACTTGATCTGAGAGCATTGCTCGATCAGAAAGTATGGAGAGCTTGATCTGACAGCATAGCGCGATCAGAAAGCATAGAGAGCTTGATCTGAGAGCATTGCTCGATCAGAAAGCTTAGAGAGCTTGATCTAAGCGCATAGCTCGATCAAAAAGCATGGAGAGCTTGATCTGAGAGCATAGCTCGATCAGAAAGCATAGAGAGCTTGATCTAAGAGCATTGCTCAATCAAAAAGCTTGGAGAGCTTGATCTAAGAGCATTGCTCGATTAAAAAGCATGGAGAGCTTGGGAGCTAGCTTGAGAGTTCGATAGCTTGAGACTTCAATAGCTTGGGAGCTAGAGAGCTAGCTTGAAAGCTCAATAGCATGAGAGCTAGAGAGCTAGCTCGAGAGTTTGATGGCTTGGGAGCTTGAGAGCTCAATAGCTTGGAAGCTAGAGAGCTATCTTGAGAGCTCGATAGCTTGGGAGCTTGAGAGCTCGATAGCTTGGGAGCTTGAGAGCTAGCGAGCTCTTTCTAATCTGAGAGATCTGAGTGCGCAATTTGAGTAATCTGGCCATGCGATCTGGGAGCTCTAATTTGGAACAGGCTTCAGTATTTTGACTATAACTTGAGCTTTAGACCTCGGATTTAGATGATTGTTGGACCGTCAAAAAGTTAACTCGAAGAGCTACAATTCTTGTGTTTACTGTTTAGCTAGATTCAGACTTTATCCTGCTCATATTTTTACATTTGATAATATGATTCTAGAAAAAGAAGTTGGGATTTGCTGAAGAAGTTGAGACTTGCTGGAAAAACATGGAGAGCTGGTGTGAATCAGGCACTCCTTCTAGCACCAAAATGTTGATACAAAAATTTGCACCAACCAGAGAATTCAGATTGACCTTGTCGGAATCGGAATGGATATGCGCGTGATTACAAATAACCAACAGTGGATACTGTTATCTTATTGTTTTTGAGAGCTGAGAGCTTACAAAGAACAGTATAATTCCTAGGAAAATTTGCTTGGAACAATTGCCTAGCCCCCAAAAACAAGTTGTCATGGGTTTATATAACATCCATTTACATGATAAAGTTGAGATAAGATTCAAATACTTAGGATTATGAAGTTGCATGATTTTCGGTTACCTTAGTTGGATTATAAGTCAATCTGAATATCTTCCTTCCAAATTGAACCAATCTAAATATTTTCTCACCTCATAAGGAATTATCCTCTCCGAATTAACCGCACAACACTGGAGAACCCACAACATTGAGGAAATGGAGAAAAACCTAGCGAAGCACAAGAGTATCTTATGTCTTATAAAGAAGTTAAATTCGAAATTATTTAATATTTTAATATCCAAGGAAAAGTAATAATCAAGGCTATGTTTGGCTTAGTATTTTTATCCATATTCTGGATCCTTTTCTCCAAATAATGTTTGGCACATTATTCCATAAATATTACCCTATTTTGTTAATTACTTTTAGACCCCATAAGGTTATTAATTTCACTAAATACCCCCTAAAAAAAAAGTTTAAAAATTAACAAAAACACCCCCATCAACCCAACTTGTCAGATTTCGGCAACCATCGTCGGTGATAGCTGGAATCTGTACAACGGCCTAACTTCCGACCAGAAATGGCCGGAAGTTCACCAATGTGGCCTTCAGCGACGGCCAAAGAAATGGCCGTCGTTGACCGAAAACGACGGCCACATCTTTGGCCGTCGTTTGGCCTTTTCCGGCCGTCGACGTCCATAACAGACCGTAGATCTGGCCTTTTCCGGTGGATCTGGCCGGAAAAGGCCATAACGACGTGTTACAGCACAGATCCGATCGGTCTGTGTCGTAACAAAATTTTTCGGCCAGATTCCGACAGTGGTGGCCGGAATCTGTCACTGCAGGTGGTGGGGGTGTTTTTGTCATTTTATTTGTTAGGGTCTTTAATTAAATTAGTAAACCTAAGGGTTTTTTTACAAATTTTTAAAATTTACCTCGTAATACTCCCCTATCCAATAACCCAATACTATTCCCAAAATCCTATCCAAAATATTAAACCAAACGTACCCCAAATGCATCAACTTATTTTAAGGGCTTCTATTTGATCCAATTGGGCCAAGCCGATTATTTTCTAAACACAGTCATCCACTCTTAAAAAATAAAAAGAATATGATTATTGTGGGGTCAGCATGTGATTTCTTTTTCTCTTGCTCTACCTTAACCTTGGTTATAAAAATAAGACAAAAATTAGTAGCCGTTAGATCAGTTATGCGTACAAAACTGTGTTAGTTGTATAAATATTTAGTGTTAACATCATAATATTAGTTGTTAGGGTCAAAAATCATTTTGGGCTTGACGAGACCTAATAACGAAATAAACATATCACGGTCCAAGGCCTCAACCCAATCCTGATTGGACCTACGCTAAAATCACCTTGCGAACTACCCACTCTATGAGTTGGGCTATCCTATAAATTAAGCTAAACTGGGTTTCAGCCCATTAGCCTGCAACAGTCTATAAATAGGAAATCAGAATTCCATTCTATTTGCTCTTCTAGTAAGATTCTAAATCTTACTCAAACTATTAAACTTGATTTGATAAGGTCAAGAAATCATATTTCTTTCATGATAGGGATTATCTCCTAAAATATGATTTAGTGTCCTACTAAGATTCCAAATCTTATTTATTAAACTTAATCTGATAAGGTCAAGAAAACATATCTTTTTCATGATAGGGATTATCTCCCAAAAAAGAGGACTCAATGTCCTACTAGGATTCCAACCCTTTGGGTTTACTATAAAAACAGAGGCTTGTCCTCTCATTAAGAGGCAATCTCCCATAGTCAATCTACACTACTCAAAACCATCTATTTGCTCATAAAGTTCTTGCTCCCAAGAACCCGACACCTCCGCCGTAGTCCTAGCTTCCGACAAGACTCCTCGTAATTCTTCATCTCCTTAATTCTTATCAAATAATCTCTTTCAGCCTTGCTGACTTGAGCGTCGGAGCGCCTACGGTAAATACCACCCCGGTGTTTTTCGGAAGCTTCACGCTTATCCTTTCATGTGTGCAGGTCTAACGGATTGTCAGTAGCCTCAACCTCACGAGATCAGACCCTATTTTCATGACGATAGATTTTTTGCATCTACGTTAGTCATATTTTGTTAATTGTTGTCCTTTGGCCCATCCAAATTGATACACCCTCATCTGCTGATCCTCCATGCGTCCATGGTGATAAGGATAGTCGTATTTGTATTGTAATTTGTAAAAGAATACAATGGGCTTAACTTAACCTTAACCTTAACCTTAACCATGCGGGTTTCTAATAAATAAAAAGCAATTGACTTTTTGTAGTGCCTTAATTTACACATCACATTTTCTTGTTATCTTGTACATAATTGAAGATCAAAAATCTATTTTATTATTATTACAATTTGAACTCAACAATGGCAAAGACGACCTCATTGGCGTGTCTTCTTATCATTTGCTGCTAAATCTAGACACCATTACCCCCTCCTTTCTTTATTCATTTTAAATTTCTTTATTGCCCTTCTTCACAAACTTACACTTCTCCACGCAATTCTTCTATCTATATCATCACCATCGATCTTGTAAGTTCTTAATTTCATTTATTATTTTTCTTTACTTTTCTTTTCGCTTTGTTTTATCTGATTATAATCAGATTCTGAAGAATGAATTGATCTGGGGGATTATTTTTATGGATTTTCAAACGAATTTGCAATCGGAATCTGGGAAATTGGAAAATATTATATCCCAGTTTCTGCTCAAGATTCTTCATGTGATACTCGACTCACGTGTTCCTTCTCTTCACTCACGTGACCAATCTTCGGTTTATCGTGTGAGGAAGAGTGATAAATGGTTCAATTTAGTGCTAGGAGACCGCCCTTCTGCTTTAGATAATTTGAATTTTTGGCACAGAAATGTAATGGATCCTATGATTATTGATATAATTCTTGTTCATAAAGATCCCAATCCAATTGGGTCGTTGTCATCGTCTTGTAATGAGACAGTGATTGAGAGGTGGGTTGTTCAATATGAGTCTACAAAAATGGTGCATCATCCAATCAATGAAACTTCTTCGTCTTATAAAAAGACTTACAAGAAGTCCATTGTACTGTTGAGATCACTTTATACCCATATGAGGCTTCTCCCTGCTTATAGGATCTTTCGCCAGCTTAGGTCTTCGAGTCCGAACTTTAATTTTGATATCATTTATAAGGTTTCTTCGTTTAGCAATCCGTTTTCGCGGGCTGATGAGGAATCCATGTGTGAATATGCTTTTGTTCCCGTTGAGGCGCTTCCTGGTCGCCTTTGTGTGTCTGTGACTTACCGTTCAACGCTAATTGATTTTAACCTTGAGCCTTTAGTGTCATTGCCCCCTAAGATTATAACGGATTATGTTGGTAGTCCTTTACCTGATCCAATGAGGTCTTTTCCCTCTTCGGAGAAGGGTGTTCGTGCTACATCTTTTCCGTTGAGAGGAGTTAGGCCTCCATCTTCTGCGCCATTGGAACGTCCGCATAGTTGGTCGAGTGGATTTCAAAAGGGAGCTCCATTTCTGCAGAGTCAACCAATCGGTGGTTCTCCACCTGCATTTCGCCCATCTCCTCCGTCATATGATTTTTCATCTTCACCTAGTGATAATTATAGTCATAGAGTTCAAAATTTTAGACCACCAGCTCATTATAGGTCTCCCAGTTATGATGAGTATCAGCTTTCGCCTCCTTTTTCGCCATATGCTTGCCCCGCGCCCTCTACATATTTGTTTGGTGGTAATCCTATTCATGCTCGTAAAAGTTCTGAGACTGCCCCTGTTAGTATCCCGCATCCAATTAGAAGTTCTAGATACCTTTCTCCAAACTTTTCTGATCCAAATAGACATTCTCTTCCACCAATCTCTCCTAGAAGTACAAAGCATGATCCTTCATCACAAGAGTCTACATCTGCAAACCGCTCATACAGGAGAACAGAATCTGTAAAAGCTGGAGAATTGCATGGTGCAGTGAATCATTCTTCTGTCCACAAGGTAGTCTTGCTTTTATGGTCTTGAATCTCATATATATATGTTTTTGTCAGCTAAAAGAACTATTCTTATCTGTTTTGCAGATGGTCAGAGATAATAAAGATGATTCTGGCCGGTTCTCAGGATTGTTATATTCTAGTGGCTCACCACGTCCTGGATTATCCGGAAGCTCCAGTAGATTATCTTTTCAGGATGACTTGGATGATTGTGACTTCTCTTGTCCCTTTGATGTTGATGATATTGATACATCAGATTCCACAGCCAGGTACTTCCCTTTACTTATTTTTCTCGCTTCTATATGCGGTTATAAACAGTGTCATAGTTTTGAAAGAAGTCAAAAACCATTTAAGTGTCAGGTGTCAATTTTAAAGATAGTTATCTAGTTATTTGAGTGAATTGATTTCCTTTTCATCCTTGTTGCTGTGTTACCTGACACGTTAAGCTCACTTCAAGCTTCTGTCATATTAATGTGGATGATACTAGGTCTTCAGAATTTTCTGATAGAAAGTTAAGCATTGTGAAATATATATTCATTAAAGGATACAAGAGGTTTAATTTCATGAAGCTTGATGTATCGACCTCTAAACTTAACATAATCCTACTTTTAGGCTTTGGTTATGTACTCTACAAGCTTCATAATGTGCTTATGTAAAATGTAGAAGAAAGAACAGAATATTAGTTTTCCTTTCTTTCATGAGACAATCTGAACACAGTGGCGGATCCAGGAATTTCACTCGATGGGGGCAAAAAATAAACAAAAAAATTTGTGGGGGCAAAATGTCAAAGTCTTATAGGGGGTAAAATGCAACTAAATATAAATATTTATACAATCTAAAGTTTTTTAAAGTTTGAGTGGGGGCCGTGGTCCCCACTCATCATTAAGTAAATCCGCCACTGTCTGAACAGGTTGATTATACAGTTATGTTGCCAGAAGTGTTAAAGCTATCTGATATGACTGCTCATAAATGACTTAGTTTAATTACTATATCTACAATTCTACTACTTCATTTTAGTGATGCTTCAAAACCATTGTCGGTTTTATTCTGGTTTTCATTTGCTGCTATTTGCAACTAGTGACATCAAAATCGTGGTTTGTGAATGGATGTCATAATTGAGTGTGGTGTATGCAATCCAAAATACTTTTTAGCTTTTTATTATTCGGGCCACATGCAAAAGTGCTTTGTGGGTGGTGTGGTAGTTGTTTGTCAACTCAAAAGGTTTTGGTCTCATGACTGGTGAAGTACTGCATTTTTAGGTGTTTGGATGAATCTAGCTGCGTAGGTTTGATCCTTATGCAGTGATTCATTGGACTTGGTTCCATGTCCCTCGGAATACAACCTTATTATCTGTTATTGTTTCCTTGTATTTCTTATCTTACTGAAGTTGATGGGATTCTTTGGTACCTGTCTACATGGCTATGACCTTTAGTTTATGAGATTCGATATGTTCAATTGCAATTATTGGAAAATGTTATTACACTGCTACCTCTTTTTTTCCCCTTTTTTTCTTGCTCTCTTTTTTCATGGTGTGTGGAAGATTATACAAATATTGTTAGTCACTATCATTACTGTTTACTAATCGCAAACTCAGGACCAGATTGCTTTGGAACTAGTATTTTTGTTTTGTTTTACTGCCCCTTTGTTACTTAAACTGATATGAATCTTTTTATTACTGGATTTTCTCACAGTGCTTATAGTTGAGTTGGTTGTACTGTAATCTTCGTACCTAGAGCTTGAGGTCGATTACTACTGTCTTAAATTTTTCTTTCTCCCTTTATTTATTTATTTTTTTTTTTCTGGGCTTTGCAGTCAGAATCTTGATGCAAAAGCAACTTCAGAATTGTCATCCCAATCACATCCACTGGGTAGAAAATCACAAGATGCTGCTGTTGGTGTTCTCGTGCACATGCTGAGGACAGCCCCGCCTCTGCGTCAAGATTCTAGTATTTACTCATCCCACTCATTAAGGCCAGAAGATCCTGAGGGAGGGGTTGGCACAGCTTCTGGTTTCTTTATGCCTCGAAAAACAGCAGATGCCCTGGAAGAGCTTAGGAGTTATAGAGAAATGAAAGACCTGCTACTCTCCAAGAGCGGGACTCGGGTGTTAAGCAGGGAAGAGGCATGATAGCTTCTTTGAATTCGTGGGTTCATCTTTGTTTTAGAGAAATCACACACATTGGTGAGATTACATCAACCGATACTGAATTATAGACACCGGAGCATCAGCAGCACAGTTGTTTCTACCCTAACTTTGTAAAGATGAGAGAATAACGAAACGTGTACATATCATAACTTAATATCGACGTTGCTTTTTATTTTCATATCTCAATGGAAATGGAATTCCATGTTAGCAGGAAAAAAAAGTCCTTATCCTATTTTATGTTATTGTGCTCTCTTCATAAAGAATGTACAGACTAAGAGGGCCAAGAAAAATGCACAATGCTAGCAATCAGAAAATTGATACATAATTTAAGTCTTTTCAAAGTTGAATGAAAATAGTTTTTATACCAGATATGATTGGTTTATATGCGTTCAATTTATATATATTGTAGTTTTTTAGTCAAGATATTTTAATATTAATTCTATCAAGTCATGCTTCAATACCGTCGTATTCACTGTATATATAAAACCTCAAGCATAATCGTTGCAATTATCCCAAGCATATTACTTGTATGTCATATTTATCAATATCTACATTTATAATCATGAATAACTACAATACGATCCCACTATATCAACAAGATGAAGTAATGAGATGATTTGCTTAAGTACAGTAGAACCTCTCTACAATGATACTCTATATAGGAATAATCTCTATGTAGTCATAAAAAATTCTAGTCTCAACTTGTGCTAATTATAAATAAAAATAAATTTCATATTATAATAGGTTATAGTTTTTTTAGGTCCCATTTTAAAAAACTTGTCTTTACATAGTAATAATTATATGTATATTACAAAAAATATATGCTATGTTACATTAAAAGTTTAAGATGAAATAAAATATTTATCTAAAGTTGTTTGGGACAATGATTTATGCTTTAAAGTTGTTACCATGTCTTTTCTCTTGTGGGTTCGTAATATGCCGCCAACATTGACACCTTATTGTTGAAGCCAAAATATTTCAAGTTCTCAAGCATGTTCAGAGGATCTTGGCATGAAATTTTTGGTATTTCCATACTATAATCCTCAGGATTTTTTCTTCATCTTCTTGTCTAATTCAAGTAATGATTTCTTCCTTAGTTAAAACATACACGACTTGGTCCGTTTGTTTTATTATTTTGAATATGATTTTTGATATTTTTAGAGTTGGGTGAGAATAATGAGGTAGAATTTAAAAATTAACAAAAACACCCCTCTAGGTTTGCTAATTTACTAAACACCTCAATATATATAAATTTTGTAAAATGACAAAAATACCCCCACCCACAATTGCCAGATTCCGGTCACCACCGCCAGAATCTGGCATTACGGCGCACGATCGGCCAGATCTGATTGTTTGTGTGCTGGTGGATCTGGCCTTGGCCAAAGATATGGCCGTCGTTGACTACTAGTTACGGCCAAAGATTTGACCGTCAATGGCCAGATCTTTGGCTGTGGATCTGGCCGGAAAATGATAGATCGGCACACTACCGGCCAAATCCAGTCAGTAGTGTGCCATTATATCAGATTCCAGCCACCTTCCGACGGTGGTGACCGGAATCTGACAAATGTGGGTGGGTGAGGGTGTTTTTATTAATTTTTAAACTTTTTTCTGAGGGTGTTTAGTTAAATTAATAAACTTAAGGGATTTAAAAATAGTTGAAGAAAATATAATAGTATTTTGAGGATAATGAAACAAACAATTATTTTGAGGATAAGATTGGGGATAGGATATGAAATATAGAAACAAACAGACCCAATTAATATCCATTTAATTAGGGTAGTGAAGTCGTCGAATTTGAGTATTCGATTTTACAATGACTCTTTGATATCCATTTCTGTATTATCCTAATACTACTAAAACAATTAAAATCCTAATACTATTAAAACATGAATTATAAAATAAGAAATCAAAACAATAATTCTTGTAACTACACCTCTATTAAATTATAACCTCTTTTTAGTAATAAATTTAATTAGTCTCAATATTATAACTATAGAGAGGTTCTAATGTATTTCTTAATAATTATGATCTAATTAATAAGATAATGTGTGCCAAATATAATTTTGGTATCATAATTGGGCTTGCAATCGTACAATCGAGTGAATTTAACAGTAGGGGGGTAATTGTCAGTTTATCAAAACTTATGGGACCGGTTAATTTTGGCCCAAATCATGAACTGTATATAAGCCAGCAAACGGCCAGTCAATTCAAATTCCCAGAAGCGCTCGAGGCCACTCTCTAATGGATTCTTCTGCTTCATGCCCCTTTTGTCATCTCACATTTCCACTCACACAACTCCAAAGGTATAATTTTTTTTTTCTTTTTCGTTTTATTTATCCATTATTTATCACTTTTTTTCCTCTAACTATTCACCTCTTCAATTCACCACCCTTCACGCAGACACGCCAATTCTCACTTTGACGACGAGGACGATAACAAACCTAACCCTAATTTGTCTTCAAAGATCTCATTCTTAATCGGTTCACAAATTAAAAGCAATTTTCACAAAATCAATGATAGTTTAGTTTTCTTGTTAAGAAAATGTTTAGAACAAGAACATGATAGCTCGACAACAACTTATCTATCGAGTTATGTGGATCATTTTCAGAGCATTGTGTCGGAAGATGTGGGATGGGGTTGTGGATGGCGAAACATCCAAATGCTTTCTTCCTTTGTTATTTCTGAAAGGCAAGATGCTAAAGATGTTTTATTTGGTGGTTCTGGTTTTGTTCCTGATATACCGTCGCTTCAGCGGTGGCTTGAGATTGCTTGGGAGAGGGGTTTTGATATGGTGGGGTCGGGGCATTTTAATCAGAGTATTTATGGTTCTAGAAGTTGGATTGGAGCCACAGAATGTGCTGCACTTTTTCGTTCGTTTGGATTGTTTGCTAGGGTTGTGGATTTTAGTGATAAGGAGTTGGAGAATCTTTATCTCTCGGTTCCTAATACAGTGAAGAGAAATGATGTTAAGGGAAAGGGGAAAGCATGGCAAGTACTGGGACCCATGGATAGGTATTTGGTTAGAAAGAATTGTGATGGTAATGTTGGTGGTGAAATTTGTAGAAACTCTGTGGATGGGGGGAGTGGTAATAATATGGAAAATACGGAGAGTGAGCGCCATCAAATTCTCATGGATTGGGTGTGGAATTATTTTTCAGATGAAACTTCAATGATATATGGTCATCCTCGTATGATCATTAGTAAGAAATCGTAAGTGGCTATCTTGTGTATAGTTTATAATCTTACTAGAATGTTAAAGTCACATTTTGAGATTGCAGGATATGCTGTCATTCTTTTGTTTTGGCAGTTTTGTTATGGTGTTTTGTTGATTGTTAAGATATATGCTTTGATGTTCAGGCCCTTGTACTTCCAGCATGATGGACATTCACGAACCATTGTAGGAATTCAAGTTAAAAACCAAAAGAAGGGTATACAACAATACAGTCTGTTGATTTTGGACCCTGCTCATGTAAGTATTACATGTAAAATTTCATTTTTCAGCTGCGTTAAAAGCTTACATTTTTCATTTGATTATTTATGTCATTGGGAATTAACTTTTTGATAAATATTAATGCTCTTGCCTGTATATGTCTGTTTGAGATTGGTATGTTGCTCTTGATTATTTAATTCTTTTTCCACTTATTTGCAAATTGAAAATACTTGTAAATGTGATCTCAAGTCCTTGCAATAAGATTCATTTGTATGTTTGAAATTTAATATTCTGTGACCAGTTATGAGGATCTTGGTATGTTTCTTTTTTGGAACATAAGATGCTTAGTGACTTTTATTACTTGAGGTTATATCAATATACTTTAGATGCTAAAAAATGAAAATAAGAAAACATTTGTTAAGGATAACAATCATAATGAACCAGGCGATGACAAAAAATCTTTTCACCTTAGACCATGAAAAGCAGGGAATGCCCCTTAGTGATTCCATTCTAGCGAACTCTACTATAAAATCGTGATCAGGTCCTTTTAAATTTTAATGTCAGCTAAAAAATTTCAAAGCTCGGTGAAAGGATTGCTCTAAATCCCTTCTAGAGTATCTTCATTTTTGAAAATGCTTATACTTTAGCCAGTTTTATTTGTAGAGAAAATGGCATCACTGACTTGTCAGCGAATATCAAAGCAATTGTTAGATAACATATCTCTTTGATGTTAATTGAGCAATCGTTTTGGAGACTGCATCAAGTTTAGTAGGCTCAAAGTCCTCGATCTTAAGGATATTGTTGCCCAATCTAACAAAATCTTAAAATTTACAGACTCCTGGGATAAACCACTTTCTTTCACCTTGATCTGCTATCTCACTTCATAAAGAGGAGGACAGTGGCACAGTTTTAGTTGATAAATTTGAGTTTCTTTTAACCTATCTCCAGTGTACAATCTGGTCATCATGTTTCCTATTCCCCCCTCATCAATCATTTGGTGAAACAATTTAGTGTTGCCATCTTTATGTATTATTTGATATGACTTTTGCCTCTGCACTCTTCATATCATCATCTCCAGAAAAAAATTGTGTACTTACAATATCCATAAACTTGGTACTAGTATTTTGTCGCTGCAGTCTTCATATTCTTTAACCTTTTGCTTGTCACGAACTATTAGTAACCATAAGGAGAACAGTTGCTAGAAATTGTAATTTCAGCATTCATCTGATCAGAATCAATACGAGTAATTTGTCTGAAAGTTTTTTTGGAAAGCCTAGTAAGAATCAGTTTACTTGTTCATATGGTTCAGATTTAGTGAACTAATATAGCTAACAACTGTTGATTTACTGCAAAACATTTTTAGGCCATTGTGCAGATAGTTCAGCATCATTTCTTTTTATGATGGAGAATGTTGACCCTTGATATTCTAGAACATGCAATTATCACTTATTGCATCTTTTTGTGATTGCGTTTTACATATATATAGAAAACAGCTGCACTGGAAAGATCTCTCAAGGATAATAAAGGATGGAAGAAGCTTTTAAAAAGAGGGGTTCACACACTGAAGAAGCCACAGTATCAGGTTGTATTGCAGTTAATAGATTTGCCACTTTTTCTACTATTAGGTAATTGTTAATACTTAATATTATGTCTATGTTCCAGTTGTGCTATATTGATCCTGGAATTGCCACTGGGAAGGAGATGGAGCAGCTGAAGACAATAGATAGCACGTTGGTTACCTTCTGAGGAATATCTAGAACTTCTTTTTTTCTATTTAGGTACTGCTTGTTTACTTTATCAAGTTGTTGAGTTTTAACATGTCATTGAGCTATGCTTGGGTCTCTCAGTTTCTCTGTGTTTTTTTTTTTTTTTTTTTTTTTTTTCAAGTGACAAACAGGAGTGATTCCTTCTACTAAACACTTAACAGAAAGTAGTGTATGGCTTGGTTGTAAGTAACACATCCTTGTAAAGTTTTGGAATTTATCTGTATGATAGAATATATGAACTTACGCAATTATATATCTTTTCTAATAAGCTCTCTAGCTGGTACAATTTTGTTAAAGTGAAAACGGTGTATAAAGAAATGGGGCTTGATTTATTAATTTGAGAGAAGATTGAAATTTTGAATACAGAGAGGAATCAAAGAATTAAAACAACTGTTCCAGGATTAACCTGATTACAACTCTTAAAGAGCCAAAATGAAAATTACACTCATGATACCATGTTGTTTGCTGGTGGCCGTATATATATTACCAGTGTAATCTCTTCTATTATGATAATGATCCTCCCCATTTATTCCCTTGAAATCACCTCCTTAATTTATGTAGATTGATTGCCCTTAAGAATTATCTCTTGCCATATCCTTTCTTCTTCTGGAATACACCATTAGTTCTCTTGGTGGACTTTCCTCGTCAACATGATTGTTGGCTGATATTAAGTGTCTATCATTGCCCACCCCAGGAAGAACAGCCTTGTCCTCAGGGCTGAAATCGGGAAACTTCAGGTATTTTGGCGGTTTCTTCCATCTCAAGGGCCTCAAAATCTTCAATCCCAATATTGTCTTCATCTTCCGCAACAATAAGGGCTCGCAATTGCTTATTAGGACATTCATGCTAGGGACTATAGGGTTGTTTGCACCTGAAACACAAACCCTTACCCCGTAGATAAAGATACTCTTGGTGCGATAGACGGCGTGTCCCGCGATTCTTTTCTTTAGTTGTATTCTGACTCCCGGTCCCATTTCTCGTCGATGGCAAAATAGTGGTTGTTTCTTTCTCCCTTGGATGTGTCGTTATTGTGTCCTACCGCTTTCCCATTCTGACCGAATGGGATGGGTTTGTCCTCGTTGCCACCCATTTGTACTGTTTGTTGGGGCCAAACCCGGGCTTCCACTTGTTTTCCCACTACCGCGGTTGGTGCTTTGCCTAAGGTGGAGGTTGATAGGGCCGCGATCTACTGGTATCAGCTCCCATTCTTGTTCAACATATCGGGCTAGCTCCATGGTAGTTGATAAATCTAGGGGTCGATGGATAGGAAGTCGACAACGAAGTGACGAACCTCTGCTTGCATACCATTGAGGAAGTAGCCTAAGTAGTGAGCACTACTATGGCTTGGAACTTGCGCGACTAATTCGATGAACTCGTTGATATAGTTTTCGATTGTCGAGTCGAGTGTTGCTTCACCGCTGCCAAACGCTCATATGGGTTTTCAGCTTGACTTTCATCATAACGCTTGATTAATTTGGTTTTGAGAAGTTCCCATGAAAGCCTTGGAATACTCAAACGGAGCCAGTGAAACCAGTGTAAAGCACCTTCTTCCATGCTGACCATAGCCACTGTGACCCGTTGATTTTCCGGGGTTCCTTGAATCTCGAAAAACTGCTCTGCCCTTGCAATCCAACCAACCGGGTCACAGCCATCAAAAGTTGGTAATTCGACTTTCCGTTTGAGAGAAAAAACGGTATTGTCGGAAGGTTTCAACTATGGCGTGGCCAGTTCTTCTTCCTCCTGGCTCACAGTCTTATTTTTTTTATCAATGCTGCCATGTTGACGATTGTGTCCTTCATTTCTGCGAGCTGTGCGTCGATCCTAACATCCCGTGCTTCTGTGATTGTCTCCGTAGCTGCCAGTCTTTGGAATAAGGTTCTCTAATGTGTGCATGTGTGACTCCATTCTGGTTTTTGGGATGAGTAGACGGACTGGCAGGTCGGACCAATTCTATTAGAGTGAAAGCGGTGTATAAAGAAATGGAGCTTGATTTTATTAATTTGAGAGAAGATTGAATACAGAGAAGAATCAAAGAAGTAAAACAACTATTCCAGGATTAACCCTATTACAACTCTTAAAGAGCCAAAATGAAAATTACACTCATGATGCCATGTTGTCTGCTGGTGGCCATATATTTACTACCAATGTAATCTCGTTTATTCTGATAATAATCCTCCCCATTTATTCCCTTGAAATCAGCTTCTTAATTTATGTGGATTGATTGCCCTTAATTTGAGTTCTTGAATTATCTCTTGCCACATCTTTTCTTCTTCTGGAAAAAACCAGTAGTTCTCTTGGTGGACTTTCTTCATCAACGTGATTGGTTGGCTGAAATTAAGTGTCTATCAAATTTTGAATAAACTCCCACTAGCCAGTCCCACATAGGAACATCTAACCTTTTGACATGTGGTTTTGGAGTTTCTTACCATGGGAAGCCAATGTTGCAACTGTAACATTTGACAATAAATCCCTCTATATTTCTGATTTAAAGCATTCATTAATAATTTTTCAGATTCAAACATCAATGGCACTTGATGCTCTTTAGGAGCAACATTGCAGGACTCGAGTATAGTTCTAGCAGTGGCTATTCTTAGATTTGTGCACCTGAATGTTCGCAAGCCCTTCCCCAAAAATCATATTATAACCATCAGCAAATTACCACCAGGCAATGGCATGTGCAATACTCCTTAAACTAAGAGAGAAGCCTTGAATGAGTCCATACTGATTGTTTTATTTACTGTAATGTTTCTCCGAATCTTATACTGATTTTGGCTTTCCTCAGTATGTGTTTTTAATAGCGAAAATTTTCTTGTGGTTCTCACATTAAATTGCAGATTCAGGAGCAAGAGTGGGAGTCATTTAGAAGTCTTTTGGCAGATGTAGGTTGAATCAGTCTAATGAAGTGGCAAGGCATCACATCCCAAGTTACCAGTCCCATTCTCCAACTAAAACTCATGCAGACAATTGCATGATGAGGAAATGATTTTGGTAAGCATCATTCTTGGTTTCTCAAACCAAGCTATTTCTCCACATAGTACGCCTCAAGATTTTAGTTCAATTGGTAATAATGTGATTTTCATTGGACTTTGAATTTGTCATAAAGTTGGAAATTTGTGTATGTGATGCGAACATATAATTCTGCTTGAGACTGATGAAGTTTATTTATCCGCAAGGAGAAAATGAGATCATGATGCAGATATTCTGTAGGGAGTCGAGGATCGGGTTCAAGAGCTTGATTGAAAGTTTGTCATCAACCACCCCAAAGAGGTAATGCTGCAAGGTATTACTGATTAATGAAAGCAAATCCGATTATAGAAAAGATGTGGGATACTTCAACTTGCCGCCTTGCATTTTTCTTTTATTTTTATGGTGTCAGGCTTTGAGATGTTAGAGAATGTTGCAGCAAGCAAACCAATAGGAGTTCTTAGAGGATCACTGATATCCATGTCAAGTAGATTCTTCTTCTGCTATTCTGTTATTGCTTTAGTAACTCACAATGACGTTTGTCAAAGGCTTTAGGTTTCTTTCTCTGGTAGTGAGTTGTTGCAGAGTTTTCCAATGGAATCATCAATTCTGTTATTCAGTCTTCTGGTATCTCTAAACAAAGGGGACTTAACGTTCATTGTGAACCAAACTTGAGTCCCTTTTTGTCGCATTTGGCAAGCTTTTTCGCATTTTTGTACTGTAGGTTTTAGATGGGTCAAGCCTTTTTGCAGAAATTGCTATATCCATTTAGATAATAGTCTAGGTAAGACCCAATATCTATCCAACTATTAAAAACTGTTGGAATATGAACACTTTTTGGTAATTGATGAAGAAAAGACAATCAAGAAGGAAAGACAGGTAAGAAGAAAAGGCAAACAAGAAGAAAAGGCAAACAAGAAGAAAATGAATTTAAGTTTTAGGCAAATTTCTAGTTTAGGAATTTGTAATTGAAGAATATTTGTTTTCTTTTTACTTTGAGTTTTACTAGAAAAGAAGAATTGGTTTAGGACTTTATTTAAGTTAAAATAGGATAATGATTTAAATTAGAAGAGTTCTATTAGGAATAGGAATATGAATCCTAGTAGAATAAGAATGTCTTATTTTACTTATAAATAAGGGAGTTAGAACTAATTCAAAATATGAGAGAGGAATAAGAGAAAGAGAGAATGTGAGGATACAGGAGGTTTTGATGTAAGGGTACTATGGGTATCGAGTAAATACCAAGGGGTATTAAACACCATAGGAACGGGATGTCCGCCTAAGTAAAGATACTAGGTTGATGGTGTGATGAAACACTTGTATCGTATTCATATTATTATCGTGAAAACCCTCTCATCCGTGGATGTAGGCAAGTTATGCCGAACCACGTAAAATATTGTGTGCCTTTTTTTATGTTGTTATTGTTGTTCCTTATTTTTATGTTTTACTCCTTCGATTTTAATATGGTATCAGAGCAGATTCAGATTCTTACCATGGTATCAGAGCAATTGGTTGCATTACTGTCAGATTCTTAACAAAAAGTCACTGGAAAAAGATATTATAACAAATCAATCGCGTGTTATTTGCATGTCTAATGTGATGGATGAGTATTTAATTTTTCAAAAGCTCGAAAATAAGAAATTAAATAAAAGCTCACTCGGGTTCCTTAAAAAATGTACATATGATGACATTTTAATTCGATTTGAAAATATGTTATAATATTTATTAAATTAAGTCAAAGGCTAATAAAAGGGAGTATGTGTTGTTCTGTCATCTGTGCGCCTGTGAAAATGGAAACTGAAAACAAGAGGAATTCTACCTGACCCGGACCTCAATTATTCGGGTCAGGTCTTACCCTAGTTCAGATGGTAGCTCCGGTACCTGGGTATATCCAGGTTCGGGTTCGGGTTCGTTATTTTAGATAGACCTAGAGACTTGGCCCAAGACTCACGTTTTATTATAATTAATTCAAAATTACTAAAATATATAAACAAAATTTGGAAACGTTAAAATTCTATTACTCTTTCAAAGTTTATAGCTAGCTTTCACAACCAAATCTATAGTTATGAAATTACCCAAAAAATGATACGCCACAAATACCCCAACAAATATGAGAGTTGACTGAATTTGACCAAACAAAATTACGAATACCCTATTTATATTTTGAACTTGACTAATTTATCCTAAAATTTATTGACAACTTATTTTAAATAAAAAAAGGTAAAATAACTAATAAAATTTAAAATATTCTCAAATAACACGAATCATTAACCTGAAATCACAAATGCTAAATAAAAAATAATTAACAAAACTTTTAAAGATTTTGAAAAATTAACAACACTTAAAAAAAATAATACTAAAAACACCTAAAAAAGGAAGCGAATATCTAAAAAACATTCGCCAAGTTCTAATTTTTTTTTTTTTTTTAAATTTGTATTAATGTTTTAAACTTTTTATAAAGTAATTTTTTCAAATTTAAATTATTTTATTTTTAATTTTTTCATATATTTCTTATTCTTTTCATTCATCCAGATTTTTTTTTTTTCCATTTTTCCATATTATTTTTCCATTTTTCACACTTTTTTTTTTTCAAAATTTTTATTTATTAGTTTTTTTTCTTTCTATTTTCTTATATAATTTTGTAATAAAAAATATAATCTCAATTAAGCCATCACCACCACACCCACTCTTCACTATCACGACATCCCTTCCCCACCACACCCTAATCTTGATAGCCCATATCCCTACAGCCCTCATCCCTCACTATGCCCTAATCTTCTCAGCCCCCATCCTTATAGCCCTCATCCCCTACGACACCCAACCCCACAATCCCATCCACCACACCTAGAGGTGGAACAAATCAACCTCGGTTCAACTCGACCCACGTATACCCCGTCTGGATGGCTGGGCCTTCATAGGCCAACCCGACGACCCGACATGTTATATTGTTTTTTTTTAAAAAACCCATCCAATCTATGGGGTTGGGGGTTTTCAACTTGGGGGTCAACCTGGCGGGTTGGCCTGTGGGTTGGAAAAAAAAAAAATTAAATTAATTTTTTTTTTTTTGCAAAAACCCATTTTACACTTGAAATATAGCCGTTTTATAGCAGTCGAAGGGGTCTTTTTGGTCATTTTCTTTTCCTATTTTTTTCTATAAATAGGGCCTAAACTCTCATATTTCCTTACTTTCCAAATTCTCTCATTTTCTCTATTGAAATGTCTTAATCTCTTTGTTATCAATTTGCTCTCATTTTAATTTTTATTAGTTTTTGCAATTTTCAATTCATATTTCCAAATTCCAATTTGCTTTCTTTAATTCTTTATTCCTTATGTATCCCATTTTTTTTTTTTTTTAAAACTAGAATAGATAACTATTTTCATCCCATCAATTTCGATGATGAAGAAAATTATCCTAGTCCTCCTGAATTTACTAACATAAATGCAGTTGATTCAAATAGTCCCGCTTTCTTATTCTCAAAATCCGATACACCTCATAATATTCCCTCCCCTTCTCCCCATGCTGTTACAGCTCCCGATGATTCTAGAAGTCGTCCTCGTTCAACTTCATCTCAAGTAGAAGCGGGTTCATTGACTGTAGTCAGAACCGACGACAGGCACACATCAGTCGTTTGGGTACATTTCGATAAGTTTTACGAGATAAAAAATAGAGTTCAAGTGAAGAAAGCAAAATGCAAGTATTGTGGAAATATTTATAAAGTTGATGTAGGTAATGATACTAGTACTTTAAAAAGACATGCTAGTAAACATATGAATCAACATGGAAATAGAGAAACCAATTAAACTCAAATAACTAATATAGGTACCGCTTGGCATTATAATTCTAATGTATATAGGGAACAATTAGCTTTATATATTATTGCAACTGATCAATCTATTAATATGGCTGAAGATAAATATTTTGAAAGATTTATTAAAAATTCATTTTTTCCAGGATTTAAAAGTTATTCTAAAACTGCAACTAGAAATGATTTAATAAAATTGTTTGGGAAAATGAAATTAGAATTAAGAAATAAAATACATAGTTGTCATGTTAGTGTGGCTCTAACTGCTGATATTTGGAGTGGTAGAGCTGAACAAGATTATATTTGTGTGACTAGTCATTATTTACAGATTTTGATGGAACATGATTCAGTATGTGAGTCACAGCTTCTAGGGCATAGCCCCGGAATGATGTGGGTAGATTGGTAAACTCATCATAGTCGAACCATATCAAGTAAGGTCTGATTTCTCCTTATAGATACACCATTATGCTGAGGTGTATGAGTGAGTTGAGATACTATCCCACATTGTTTCAGGTATTCACCAAACTCTAAGCTTAAGAATTCTCCTCCTCGATAAAAAAAAAAAATCTTAATATTCTTGCCTAGTTGGTTATATACTTCGCTTCTAATTTTTTTTTAACTTGTCAAACCATTCAGACTTATGTCTCATTAAATAGACATAACCATATTTACTGTAATCATTAGTAAATGTGATGAAGTATGAGTACCCTCCTCTATCTTGAATTGTTAACGGTCCATACACATCACTATGGATGATCTTTAACAGTTCTATAGTGCTTTCACTATTTCCAAAGAAAGGTGATTTAGTCATTTTGCCTAATAGGCATGACTCACATACCTCATAAGACTATGTTAGGGCCAAAAAATGTCCTCGGCCCAAATAGACCCAAAGACGAAGACACCTTCAACAAAACTTGGAGCCATGGCCCAATTCCGATTGGGCTCGCAACAGAGTTTGCATATTAGGCCTGCTTAACACACCTACCCTGTTGCTCACTACTTGAGCCTAATCAGCAAAGGCCCCAATTTGTTTAGGCCTCATCAGCAGCTTGTCTGGGCCTAGGCCCTTTGATCCAAGATCACCTATTAGACCTAGGGTTTACTTATACTCCAAGGTTACCTACTTCTTATTTTGGTACTATTCAGATTCTATCGAAGAGATCCGGATTCTATCGAAGAGATCCATTACTATCCTAACTCGTCTAAGATCTGTATCTTAGACCAACTAGGACTCCCTCTCCTACTAAGGTAAGGGAATCAAAAGCCTTCCTATTCACTAAGCCTCAACCTCCAAAGGACTCAAGGTCCTACTAGGACTCAAAGATCCTACAGTTGCTATTTAAACAGAGGCCAACCCTCTCACAGGGAAAAAAAAATTACACCTTCTAACCTCATAGTTCTCACTCTTGAGAACCTCGCATCACAGCCGTAGTTATAGTCTCCGACTAGACTTCTGGCAACCTTCTCTTTCCGTAACCCTCACTAAATTAGCCTCATTCAGCCTTGTTGACTTGAGCGTTGGAATGCCTACGGTGTAATGCCCACATCGAGGTACGTAGCTTTACGTATTCCCTAATACCCTTAGTTGAATTTTGTTAAAGTTATCTTGAACAAGTGTGAAGAAAATGCCTTAAAATTTCATTAGGGGTAAAATGATCTTTTCACTCATAATTAGTTGAAAAAGTGGGGAGTGAAAAAAATGAGGACATTATTG